TGCTGCCGAGTTGGGCGAACGTTCCAAAAGCTGCTATTCAATCGCTTGTTTTGTATGGAAAAAGGTTTCACAAGCAAATGGATTTTAACAACTTATAATTTTCGTGAGAAAAAATTAAAAATATTTGACATTTTCGAGACCAAATAATTTGAAAATAAATCAAATCAGCTGCTCTACTGATACTACCTGTTCAATGTACCTTGGGTAATACCCATCGTACAGTTCCATAAGTAAAGCAACTCTTCTTCTTACTGTTTTTTCTGGCAGGCTGTTGCTGTGTTTTTGGTTAGTGTATTGGTGGTTTTGGTTCAGTGTGTTAGTGTATTTTGAATAAATTGTCATAGAAATAAAAGAAATTGTAATGTAATGAAAGAAATTGTAAAAGATAAGAGAACATGCCAAAAAACAGATGATCTCAGCTGTAGGCATTTTTTGGCAATCAGCTGATAGTGTTTTTACCTATGAAACTGTACGATGGTAAAACCGTTCGCTCAATTCGTCGGCCATAATTTATTTTTTGAAGTTTTTCCATGGTGAAATTATGGTGACAGGTAATAAGATCAATGGAAATAAGGTCAATTGACTTAATTGACTTGATTAAGGAACAAGAAGACTAAAACGAACGGATTTTTCCGATATAAGCAATGTCGGCTCTGGAACTCGTCCTTTCAGACCGACCACCCAACACCAGTGTCAGTGCGGCTCGGAAATTTGTCCTTTCCGACCGATCATAGCCTACTGGATTGTAATTACTTAAATATAGAGAAGCGAAGGCGCGGCGTGAGAACTAGTCCTTTCCACCCGCCCAGGCCGTGCGGCTCTTGAACTCCTTTCAGACCACCTGCCTAGGGACACGAATTTCGATACGATACGACACCATATCGATACTTTTGGCATGCGATACCGACATTTTTTACTCGATAGTTTTAAAACGATATTTTTTGGAATCGAGTATCAGAACCCTAGCGTATCGAATGTCATAAACTCAAATTACAAAGATAATGTGATTATCAATTCTTGCAGAAACTTTTTACTATAGTTAGGATTGCATGTGGTGGGATTTGAACACGCTGTCTCGGTGTTTTAAGTCAAACTCAATCTCTATCCTCCGATTTCTTGCGTGCGCCTTGATGTTATGCCACATAGGGCGTCCCTAATGTTTTACGCCGATTCTGAACGGCGATTGTATTTTTTATGAGAAGCTGTCGAAAGAAAAAGCCCTTCAATTTATGCCACTCCATACAAAAAAGAAAGGAGAAAGGAATGTAGGCCTCTTGACTCTCAGGAAGGGCTTTAAACTCCTGAAATTATCTACTGGGTTATAAAATGATGTATATTTAATACTGCCATGTACGACGAACATTTTGACGAGAACGTTCACAACTCGCATTCGTCTATTTAATTTTTTTCCGTAGTCTCGTAAATCCCGCGCATCCCGCATGTGTAATCCCTCATTTCTATACCCGCAAAAATGGTGCGGGAATCCCGCATATTCGGGATTGGATTCCTTAATTGCAATGATATGTATGCATAAGCGATATATTATTTTATTTATTATTTGTTTTGTAATGTTATTTATACATATAATTATAATTATTTGTTTATGTTTTTCTTTTGTTATTATAAAAATTTATCAAAAACATTTGTTCTTGAATGAATTTACATTCTGGTAGTTTTTTTTTAAGAAGCCGGAATCGGCATCGGCCAAAAATTGGGAATCGGTCGGACTCTAATGACAGTACAGTTTAAACAGACACTAGCATCTTGCCATAATTGGCTTTCCATACCTGTTCGCATTCCGCCAATCCATCGCCACGCCAGCCCTCAGCTATTGCTGTTGCAACTCAAATATGTATGTATGTGCATATGTATTTAAATAGGTATGCGTTGCGTTGTCCTGCTCACTACCTCGAATCAAAATTTTTAACTATTATAAAACTGGTTTCAAACTTATTGAAGGCATATCTGCAACTTTATGCATTTTTGTCGTATAATTTCAAAGCCTTACATATGTACATGTATGTATGTAGGTAAATGCAGCCCATATGTATGAACATACATATGTACATTTATTAAATAATAAAATAAAATGCCCACGTTAGTATCACTGAAAAATCACAACACAACTTCAAATTACTCTTCACTACACAAACACGAACATGTGCACACAAATTGAACTTCCGCCATGGTTATGTGAAAGTGAAAGTGAAGTTAAAAAAAAATGTATCGTTGCGACGTCATCATAAACAAAAAAAATGAAATATTTAACATGGCGCGAACACTTGTGTACCGCGTCAACTTCAATTACTAACTAATTCGAAGTGTGCCGCCGCACTGTTCGCTACAAACGGGATGCATATAAAATATCCTTATACTATGAGCGGTTAGTTTTATGAGCCACCACCAGCAGTTCTCACTATAGCAATTCACCAATCACGCTTACGCCTCGCTTGTAGATGTGTACGCTAATTTTCAAGGCTCGCAAAGCTTCGTTTTTTCGCCTCAGGAATTTCTTGCTAAGTTTTATTGTTCGTGTGGAATATGTACATATTTATGTATTGCGTGGCGAAAACACAGTTAGGTTGCCGTGAGCTGAATTATTTACTGCTGACTAACTTATATTCACACCTCCCAGCCCATACATTTAAATAGATACATACATACATATGTACCTAAGTATGTATTTTTGCTTTAAATAGGCAAAACATAGTAGTGATCTAAATATGTGCGTATTTAAACGATTTAACATTTGAAAATACCGAACACATGGTTTTCATGTTTATTAGGCCGAAACAAGACGTATGGAGTAAAAATAAATTCAAAATGTTACAATTCATTTTGAACCCTGCCATAAGACTATCTATTTTGGCAACCTAAACCATGCTTTCCTAGTTCTTCTTCTTCTTCTTCTTCTTGTTTGGCTCTACAACCGGTTCTTGGGCCGATACCAAAAAACTTCGAAAATTTCCTCTCTCCTTCGAGCCATTTTTTCATCCCGAGTGCTGGCAGGTCCTTCTGCACTTAGTCCTTTCATTGTATTCGTTTCTTTTTTTGTAACCAAAGACTTATAATCTTGGTTCAAAATCGTCTATGTTTCCTCGCCACAAAAATGTACGGACATGATGAGAGATGAGAGCTTTCGTAATATAACATCATAACTAGTTTATACACTGGTATTTATGTATATGAATAGGAACAAAACTTTTATGATTGAACCTCTACCGTTACGCCTTCTCCGCGATTATGAT